CAACATTACAATAGTGTACAGTGTGGCAATATAATAACAATAAACTGTGCCAGGTGTGTTGTATGCACAGTAAATAGGCTCAGCAGCAAACCCACCTTTATTATTTATTATATATCTTCCTGAGACCCACTGCATCCGTCTGCCATAAACACTATGGAAACCTACATGTTAGTTTTGGCCCATAGTGGACTCCATTTTGTGTTGTGTGAAACGGGGGGGGGAATTAAAAGTTTGCAAATCCCCATGTCCTCCTCAGACGATAATCATAAAAACATTTAGTTTTAGGTCAAATCATATTTAAAATTATATAAATTATCATGTTTGTGTATGTGCCACTGCCATTCCTCCACAAGGTTGCAACATTGATGATAAATAAAGGACAAATAAAGCTTCGCCAGTTTATAACCGATGAAACATGATGGTATCAGAATAATCACTTACATGTGATGTATAGGATGCTACACAGGTCACTAAAGATAAAGTGTAAGGAGAAATAAGTAAGATACAGGATCTGTTTAATCGCCATGTAGGTTCTCTTTATTGCACTCTCAAGACATAACAGTAAATAGGCCTTGGTTAACAGCACCATCTGATCCCCGTGCATCGACTCTTTCACTACGGCCGCTCAAAGTGCCCTTATTTATTGTTTTGTATTTTTGAAGAGTGCTTCAAAAATACAAAACTAGTCATGTATGCTACAGGACAAAGTAGTCATGTAGCATACAGGACTACTTTGTTTGTAGTTCTGTATGCTTGAACTTTGTTTAATGTTGTTGAGGCAAGTTTTCTTACCGGAAGTCATGTGACCTCTAGCCCGGATGTTTACAATGTTTGTGAGAGAGTAAAAACGGCATGAAAATGTGTAAACGCCGGTCTAGGCGAATACGTTTTCACGCTGTTTCATAATTGTTCCAAGAAGGAAATAAACGTGATTGTGAACATCAGTTCGATGCGTAACGTTCTTTGAAGACCAAGTTACAGTGTGTATACCTTTGCGTTTGGTTGCTGGTAAGGGGGACGAGCAAGCGCTGTGATCTGGAAGGGAAAGCTCGCTTGTTTCTAATCCTGAGAGTTGTCCAGCCTCGCCTGAAACACACGATTAGTTCCATGAGTTAGTGAAGCAAATTACAGAAACACTGCACAGTTATTCACAAGTCAAAACGTTTTCATAGCGGCCGAGAATATCTAGCTAGCCTAGCATGGCTAGCTTTATCTACTGAGCAAATAAAAGTACATCTGAGACCATTATTGTGCAGATTAAAACCCCAGTGCATGTAGTTGATTTTACCTTCGTCGTGGTCGCCCATTGAATCCGCCGTTTGAGCGGCCTCCCACACCATCGTGCCCGAATCGAAGCTCGATGCTGTCCCGGAGAAAAGGTCTGTGGCCTAGCAGAGCATCCAAGCGCTCGTACCATTTACTGGTCTTCCGGTCGTTACCACACCGACACCTCCTCATCACCCCACCGCTTCGATTATTTATTGATGCTTGCCATAACTGCTTTCAAAACAAACTACTCTCCGTTGGTGCGCTGGGTTTTTGTAGCGAGCAAATAAAATGGCGGCTCTACAAAACATTTCAGAGTTTTACGGGGCGCGGTTTGCAATTCGCCCAGCCAATCAGAACTGGGGCACTTTTTTCCCCAAGGAAAGTACGATCTCTCAGCAGGCACTAAAAATGGGGGTAAAAGTTCCCGAGATTAAGTACTCTTTTTGGTGTGAACGCAACATAAGGGGTACTAACGGAACTAAACGCGAAAAGTACGGTGAAAAGTACTCCGGTGTGAACGCGGCTCATAACACCACAGTGAAGTGCTAACAACAACACTTGGATGCTCTCCTTTCGGTTATAGTTCAACACTTATTTTGAACATTTAACATTATTATGGTGGTTTTAAAATAATAAATGAGTCCCCTGTTGGACAGTTGTGTGTCACGTTAAATGTGTTAAAATACACATTTCTTCTGTATTTTATTTCCACATTTATTTATCCTTTTAATGTATTTATTAATACATATATTTATACATTTATGTTTCTATCAGTTTATACTTATGCCATGTTCTGTCCTCCATACTAACCCCTTCACTGCTGTTCAATCCACCTTTAGTTCCACATCAGTTATTAGATTGGGTTTCACTTGACAGATTATTAACCCTTAAATGTATAAACTCACCCTTTGTATCAGTGATGAAGTAAATGGAGGCCCAATTCCAAACCACACCCACTCCCCCTCCGTCTGAAGTCACACTCACAGCTGAACGAGGCCCCTTCCTTTCAGACGGAGGGTGTAAATACAGCAGCAGCTTTGGAGCAAACTCCCCTCTCTCTGGCAGCAACAGGAAATGCCGTAACCCTTCGTAACAATGGTTTCAAATCAGCATCTCTTGGATAAAACATTTGGATGCAAAAAAAAAAAAAAAAAATCCAAAAATCTTAAAGGGGACCTATCATGCAAAATGCACTTTTGTACATCTTTTATACATGAATATGTGTCCCCGGTGTTCCAGGGAACTCACCAAGTGTCAGAAAACACAACCCTCTCTCTTTTCCTCCATACCCAAATCTCTAAAAAAGGGGCTGCAACAGATCTGATAAAAACTGATCCAGATTTGAACACTGTCCTGACGTCAGGACGGTGGCGCTACGGCTATTGGGCCAACTCCACCAATCAGGAGGAGACAGCCACGGCCATTGCCGTTCGAAAGCGCTGGAGACGCTGTAGTACATATGCCAGGCCAGTAGATGGTGCTGTTCTCACTGAATCTGCCCTTGCACAAACAGAGCTAAAACATGTCAAATTGAGCAAAATGAGGCATGGCTAAAATGTATGATCTGTTTGGTATTTTGAAAAACAAAAAGTATAAATATGCCTTATATAGGTATGGCCCTACACTATATTATTCAAATATAGCATGATAGGTCCACTTTAAATTGTGTTTATTTTTTTTGTAAAGCTCTTTTAGTTTTAAAACCTTTTAAGCTTCTTATTTTTTTCAACAGTCTGTAAATATACACAACTTTATAATATAATGCAGACATTTACCGTTTTCTAGACTACACATGGGTATGATCCTGAGTTAAAAACAATACGAGGGAACAGGAAGTTGTTAACATCTGTATGAAGATATTAAACATCTATCTTGTTGTTCAGTTTATCAGTAAATGTTGGAACTGTTTGTAAGCAGCGTGTTTCCTGACGGACACACACACGTTGGTCGGTCAGGTGGAGCAGCAGGTGAAGTCAGGTGATGCAGACTCTCTTGATAAAACACTCCCCCTCCACACTCGTTGGTTTGGAACTGCACTTAAAGGTCTCCTATTGTACTATTTTTAAGCATATATTATAGGTCTCAGATATGAAAAACATGTCTCTGAAGGGTTTTGCTCACCCTCTGGTAGAGTAGCAGTGTATCTGGATCTTCCTGCTGGCTCTCTCTCCTTCTACAGAGTCTCCTCTGACACACTGGTCCACCTCCACACCTTCAGAACCACATTCACTGAACCTCTCTATGCTGGGTTTGGGTCAGGGTTCTCGTTTTGTGTTGATTTCTCTTCGGTGTCTCTGTGTCCTCTGCAGGTCTGAGAGTCAACATGTTCACACTTATATATACATATACTGATATACTATGTAACATTTCTACATGGAATTGTGTGAAACGAGATGCTGACTGCAATGATCCACAGAATATATATTTTTTCTTGTTTTGATTGAGAAAATCACATTCTGTTCGTCAAATGATGAGCAACATTTGAAAACAATTAGTTTGGTAATTTCTATGACATTTGAATTATTCTGTAATGTAATGAGAGTTGTACTGTCCTATATTTGTTATGTTTCTAAAGACTTCTAATCAAATATTTTATTTTTTCTTTATTGCAATCTTTTATTTATTCGTTTACTTTTGTCTTTCCTACATTACGTATATGTTTATTTATGTAGCACATTCAAAGACAGCACATTTAGAATAAAGTGATTCACAAAGAGATCAAATAAAAACACAGTCATGGAAAAGAAGACCTGGTCCTATGAACTCATGTACCCTTCATCGATTCCCAATGTGTTTTCTAAATGTATTACATGATATTAACACGTTCCTTTACCATACCAATTCATCTGTTACTGATAAATAATTGAGGGTTATTAATTATCAATACATATATCTGGTGCCCTCTGTGAGGCCCAATGTGAAGCAGAGTTTTTTTTTAAAGAGATTTCATAGCCTAAACTTCAGAAGAACTATGTAATAACAAGTTTCAACAGGTTGCTCTTGTTAGCGCAACACAGAGAGTAAGAAATCCACTATTCCCCGTCACACGTTTAAAATGAGAAAAAGATTGTCTGAGACCACCCACCAACACCGGTGCACAATGGAAAGATTCCTGCACAAAATGTCAGAAACTGTTACAAGGAAGTTCTTCCGTCAGCACGGTCTGGACTTGGCTGAAGCTGCTGTCTGCAGGTCGACAATGTGATGGTCTTTGTGGTCATGTGACCCTAAAGAGTCCTGATGTTGTTTGTGTGGAATAAGGAGGGCAACGCAGGATCTGTGGAGGAGAACTGTAGGCACAGATGCTTTGGCACAAGCTGTTGTTGACAGTTCTGCTGTGAAAGTGGCCGTGTCAGACCTGACCTTTGCCTCACATACCTCTATTAAGCTTACCATTGATAAAAAGAGGCTACATTGGCTGTGAATGGAAAGGATGTATGTTTCCTTCTTTGTTGTTACAGACATGTGAAACTAGATAGAACATTCTGAACTTTTGACCTATACACACACACATTCTAGATGGTGCAATAAAAGCGTAAAAGTTCCAGCTACCACCTTGAGAGCGGTTACAGCGGGTATGAAGACAATGAGGCACAGGATGCAGGCGGCCTGTGCACAGATTTTAATCAACTTCCTGGGCCAGCGAATCGTAGAGACAAGCTGTCCTTATTTGGGGAGACGGCCTGACGCAGAGAGGGAGGAGGAAGAAGACTATAAAGAAGGAGGGAGAAGAAGGAACAGGACGGCTTGAGGACATTTGACTTGTGAACCTATTGCTATTGTATTTGGACTTGTCGTCTTTATTATTTTTTAAGGATTCTTTTTAATCCTCAATTTTTGTTAAAACCTTAATAAATCCGGTTTGTACTTTGTACACTTCGACCCAAACTCCTGGTCTCTCTCTCGTGGTCTCTGAAGGTATCTGCTTGGTCTTAGAGTGAGGTAAGAATACCCTTCCTTGGAAAAGGCTGACATTAGTTGATAATTTGGATTTAAATTGTTTAAGGGGAATAGAAACTCTGCTAAGGTTAAACTATAGTTTCACATTGGTTACTGTGGTTGATGTGGTTGACATATGCTCTGCTGATGTGGTAATATCACTGCTGTGATATTGAATATTTGACTCTGGCTGGTGATGTCACTGCTGTGACATTGATGTTTGACTTTGGCTGTGTTTGATATTACATTTGCATTGTTTTGATTGATATATTTGGGGATCAAGAGAGGGTGGGGTTAGGGACTGTGGGTTCTGAAGCTGCCCTAATTACCAGGGAGTCTCCCATTAACAGAGGGATTCTCCTCCAGGGGCAGTTTTGATACTGCTCTGGGGTTCTACCAGCCCACCAACACCTACTACACCATACACACCGTTTTGCTATCCTAGCGGTCGGACATCCGTGGCTGGAGTGCCAGAAATAGGGATACGACGAAAAAGGCATTTTAAACAGTCATTAAAAAGCAACACAATCTACCTGCATTGCAATTACTCTAAACGTGTAATAACGTGCTTTAACCAGTAGGTGGTTTGGGTTAATAAGTTGTCAAGTTTACAGTGTTAACCTGTTAAGCCCTGAGCCTATTTTTCAGGTCTCAGGCTCGAAAATGACATTCCCACAACAAATGACCATATCTTCCCTTCTAAAAGGGTTAAATTAATAATCTTTTTTCTCAAAGTAATGATAAACCTGTGAGTTGGATGTAGAAAAGTCAGAACAATCTAGATGTTTTTTATTTTAATGAGAAAATTCAGATTTTACATAGTAAAAAACTGTAAATGATAGTGTCCGTCCAAAAATTATTTTTTACTTATAGTGAAAACTACCCTTGGATGATGGTAAGGTAAACTAAAAGCTTTAGGAATCCAAAGTACAACATATAATAAGTACCCTGTATCAAGATTGATGCAAAACAAGTGACATTTGACCTTTTTAGAGAGGTTTAGCCAAAAAAACTCCACCTCTGAGGTGATTTGGGTGGAAATGTTTTTTTTTCCATATCTCTGGCCCCCCTTTGTCGATTTTGATGGTTGACACCTCTTTCTGACCGTTAGAGCCAATAGAATCGAAGGGGGATTCCCCCACACACACACACACGTTGTAAAACAAAAAATGGGGGCTTTGCGCATGTAGTTTTGCATGAGAGTGAAGCTATCTCTCGCTCTGACATCTAGAAACGGAAAAGCAGTCTTATTGCTCATGGATTATCAGAAATTATTTCAAAGGGACACAGACACATTGGATTAACCTATGGATTAACTTCATCAGCGTTTTTATCGTTTTAATGCCATTGAAGACCACTTTGGAGCAGACTACAGAGACAAGGTAACCATGTTAGCATTTTTAGCTTCCTAGCGCCACATGTTTTGATGTCTGTTTTTGTTTATAACATCGCAATTTCGTATAATTGAGTGATAATGAGGGTACCCTTCGATTCTGTGTCACCTCACGATGTGAAACGATGTCATGGATGTGGAGAAAAGATAAATAATAAGGTTTTGTGAGTGATTTTCGGTGCAGTAATCTGTTAGGATTTTTCGCTCGTTGCTCATTCAGAGGCTCAGCGTTAGTATTGTGGGGTTTAAAAAAAAAAAAAAAAAAAAACGTTTCTTCCCGTTACATGGATATAAAACATTCATAGTTTATTAAATGAACATGCCCTCAGACACTGTTTCCTGCAAGATGTTGCGGCAGTGCCCCGGTACCGGGGTCTCTCGGGCTTAACAGGTTAACAAAATAAACTAGAGAATGCAATTCCTGAAGAAATTGCTAGTGGGAATGCTTTATGCTGAAAAGCTGACGCTAAACTGCTATGCTGAAATGTAATGTGTAAGAAGAAAGTGAAGAATTTAGATTGAAATGATACATGAACACTGGGGGCTTGAATGTGTGATGAGTGAAGAAAATAAAGTAAAAAGGCTTGGAAAAGCAGCAGAATATTTGAACTGCAAACTTTTGAACTAACTTGATGGTGAATGATCTGTCGCCATGGCAACGGCATTTGATGACACCCCATAATACGGTTAGATGCGTTGATGGCTGCATCGTTACCAAACCTGTGAAGTTTTGGGCCGTTTGGAGCATTTTCACTGAAGTTATGAGAAAACCGTGTTTCATGGCGAGCATTGTGTTGCCATGGCAATGGCATTTGAAAAAACCCCATCATTGACGTAGAGCTTTTGAGGGCTGGACCGGTGATATACAAGCGAAGTTTGGGGGACAATCGGGCCGTGTGCATTGGACTTACAGCAACATCGTGCTTCATGGCGAGTGGTCTGTCGCCATGGCAACGGCATTTGATGACACCCCATAATACGCTTAGATGCGTTGATGGCTGCATCGTTACTAAACCTGTGAAGTTTTGGGCCGTTTGGAACATTGTGTGTGAGAGAGAGAGAGAGAGAGATAGAGTGTGTGTGTGTCTGTGTGTGGTAGAGAGAGAGAGAGAGAGAGAGAGAGAGAGAGAGAGAGAGAGAGAGAGAGAGAGAGAGAGAGAGAGAGAGAGTGTGAGAGAGAGAGAGAGTGTGTGTGTGTGTGAGTATGAAATGAACAGTTAGAACTGACTGCTGTCAGTTGGAGTGATGACATCATCGTGTTCCATTACACAGGTGTTTATAGTTGAGCTAACGAGCTCTGTAGAGATCAAAGGTTTGCATTGTACTGAATGAGAGATGATCCTCTTACATGTGAACGTTTTGTGGAAGAACGATAACAGATATCTGTGAAATTTCAAAACGTGAAGCATGACAAGGAAGTTGAGTATCTGAAGTAATAATAATAATAATGGGTTCCATTTATAAAGCACTTCATATTTGATTTCAAATCCCGAAGTGCTACAAGCAGTGAGCATGAACAGTATAAATAGACATTACACAACACGGTAGAATTAATAAAAAGCAGTAAAAAAAAATAAAAGGGTGGTAAAAAGGTCTAGGCAAAGGCTCTTTTGAAGAGATGGGTTTTGAAGCCTTTTTTAAAAGTCTCCACGGTCTGTGGTGCTCTCATGTGATCGGGGAGAGCATTCCACAGACTGGGAGCAGCCGAGCAGAAGGCCCGGTCTCCCATGGAGTTGCTGGAGCGGGTGGTCCGCAAGGAGGTATGGGGGGTGAGGAGTTCCTTGAGGTAGGGAGGAGCAGTTCCATGGACACACTGGTGGGTGAGGACGGAGACCTTGAATTCGATCCTCAGTTCCACGGGGAGCCAGTGTAGTGCTTTAAGGATGGGGGTGATGTGATCATATTTGCGCACCCTCATCAGGATCCTAGCAGCGCTATTCTGAATGTATTGGAGCTTCTGGATGCTTTTGTTAGGGATCCCGATGAGGAGTGCATTGCAGTAGTCCAGCCTGGAGGAGACAAAGGCGTGGACCAGCTTTTCGGCGTCAGACAGAGTGAGTGTGGGACGGAGTTTGGCGATGTTCCTGAGGTGATAAAAGGAGTTCTTGCACAGCTGTTTAATGTGGGCCTCAAAGGTCAGATGGGCGTCCATTTTAACACCCAGGTTGGTGACTATTGAGGAGAGGGTAATGTCCTGGCCGGAGAAGGTGATGGTGGTGATGGTGGATGACCGAACCTGGTGTGGGGTGCCAACTATAATGGCTTCGGTCTTGGAGCTGTTGAGTTTCAGGAAGTTTTGCTTCATCCACACCTGTATCTCCTCCAGGCAGGCAGTGAGTGTGGGTGAAGGCAGAGCTGCAGAGGAGGTAGGGTTGATCCTGAGGTACAGTTGGGTGTCATCAGCGTAGCAATGGAATGATACTCCATGTCGGCTGATGATAGAGCCAAGGGGGAGCATGTAGAGTGTGAAGAGGGTGGGGCCGAGAACTGATCCTTGAGGGACACCACAGGTGACGTTGTGGGTACCCGACTCTGCCTCGTGTAATTTTTGTGTACTTTCGGGTTAATAATGTGGCCTTTTTGGCAGTTTAACTAAAGGTGGGCGGCTGCTGCTGTGAAGAAATATCTGCCTGAAATTACAATGGGCTTTAATGGAGACATGTTGAACGTTTTTGCCACTTCTTGCCCTCAAGAGGCATTTTGTTTAATTATTTTGCTTAATTATTATAGTTATTTTTCAAGCTAGGAGATGTTTTCCTACGTTTGTCATGAAAAATTATGTCTCAAGAATGTAGGGTTTGGGAATTATGGCAGTTTTTTAAAAAAATATGAAGGCACATTTCAAGAATTCCAAGCTGTGACATCACACACTCTAATTAATGTTAAAATCTGAAGAAAACCTCTTTAACTCTGAACAATGTTTAATATCTCTAAAAGTAAGAATCACATTTAAAAGTAGTGTTACACAAATAATGTCAGAAAGATGTGTAACATTTTAAAGTTGGAATGAGGTTTCTGAGTGAAAGTATGAATGAACAGTTAGCAGTTGAAGTCGCATGAAGATTTGTTGAAGTCTGAAGAATGTCTCCATTGACTTCCATGTTAAAAATTGGATGAATTATGGGATGTATCTCTGGAATTATGAAAGTTATGAATGATAAAAGTAATAGCCATCGATTCCCGACCGAGCTGAACGTTTTGATGTTTGAACGGAGTTCATGCGATGTTGAATGTGGGAGGAGAAGAGGGCCAAAATAATTGGATGGAATAATAATAAGAATTTTGTCCGTAGCATAACATATAGTTGGAATGCTGTATCAGCATTCCCACTAAAATATACTGCTGTTTCCGGTTTAGTTTACGACGGATATATTTTGTTATTGTTTTGATATTTGTAACACAAAAGCGATGTAAAAAACCCACAGCAACACAGAAAAGATGGTCTTAACATGACACAGCGGTCTAGTAGTTAATAAAAAACAATAATATCAAAACAAAATATCACTACTAACTTTATTGTGAAATTAAAACAGAACGGTAAAAGAATAGTTTCCGGTCTATTCTGAAGCCCGATCTCTGTAGATAAATAAAGAACCAATGCGGTGCTTCCATGAGCGTCAAATACCGCCGCCGATGGGAATACATTGCAATCAGTTGAAAGCTCTTTGCGTCCGTTTATGAAGCTGAAGGAGCCTCGGCGCGTCCCAACTGCACGCCACGGGACCCTGACCAAGCGTCGCTCCTGGACGTTTAGGGAGTGAGAGTGTGTTGTACCAAGCTTCTGAATTAGCCCTGAGCGAACACACTTAGCACAAAACTCACGGTAGAAATACTTTAATACTTATCAGATCTGCACAAACAAGATATCAGCTAGCAAGCTGAGATCCCACACATTCTAGAAATATAAGTATCATCACTGTGCGATTGAAACTTGCGACAGGGATGATGGTAAGGTAAACTAAAAGCTTTAGGAATCCAAAGTACAACATATAATAAGTACCCTGTATCAAGATTGATGCAAAACAAGTGACATTTGACCTTTTTAGAGAGGTTTAGCCAAAAAAACTCCACCTCTGAGGTGATTTGGGTGGAAATGTTTTTTTTTCCATATCTCTGGCCCCCCTTTGTCGATTTTGATGGTTGACACCTCTTTCTGACCGTTAGAGCCAATAGAATCGAAGGGGGATTCCCCCACACACACACACACGTTGTAAAACAAAAAATGGGGGCTTTGCGCATGTAGTTTTGCATGAGAGTGAAGCTATCTCTCGCTCTGACATCTAGAAACGGAAAAGCAGTCTTATTGCTCATGGATTATCAGAAATTATTTCAAAGGGACACAGACACATTGGATTAACCTATGGATTAACTTCATCAGCGTTTTTATCGTTTTAATGCCATTGAAGACCACTTTGGAGCAGACTACAGAGACAAGGTAACCATGTTAGCATTTTTAGCTTCCTAGCGCCACATGTTTTGATGTCTGTTTTTGTTTATAACGTCGCAATTTTGTATAATTGAGTGATAATGAGGGTACCCTTCGATTTTGTGTCACCTCACGATGTGAAACGATGTCATGGATGTGGAGAAAAGATAAATAATAAGGTTTTGTGAGTGATTTTCGGTGCAGTAATCTGTTAGGATTTTTCGCTCGTTGCTCATTCAGAGGCTCAGCGTTAGTATTGTGGGGTTTAAAAAAAAAAAAAAAAAAAACGTTTCTTCCCGTTACATGGATATAAAACATTCATAGTTTATTAAATGAACATGCCCTCAGACACTGTTTCCTGCAAGATGTTGGCAGGGGAACCCAGACATCACACGACGTAGCTTTACGGAGCAAACATGGGAAATATGTCTTACCTGTTGCTGTTTCTGATCAAAAGTTGTGTTCAATGACATTCAAACAATAAAAACGCTGCTGAAGATTAATCCAATGTGTCTGTGTCACTTTGAAATGATACTGATAATCCTTCATCATATTTATGTCAATAACGGAGATTTCATATTAGCTGCTACGAGAGTGTATGACAGCTTCCGGTTTTGGGCATTCTGGCTGCGCATCACTCTATTCACCAAGGGGAAATGTTTAGATGGATTTTAGGAACTTCCCCTCGATTATTTTGGTTCTAACGGTTAAAAAGAGGAGTCAATCATCAAAATCGACAGAGGGGGGCCAGAGATATGACAAATGCACCCAAATGACCCGAGAAGTGTTGTTTTTTTGCTAAATCTCTCTAAAAGGTAAAATGTAACTTGTTTTGCATCAATCTTGATACAGGGTACTTATTATATGTTATAGTTTGGATTCCTAAAGCTCTTAGTCTACCATCCCATCATTCAAGGGTGGTTTTCACTATAAGTAATGTTTTTCTTTTGGACGGACACTATAATTTACATTTTTTTACTAAATACATTCTGAATTTACTACAATATATTGTAGGGCCATACCTATATAAAGTATATAAATATAGTTTTTTTTTCAAAATACCAAACATATCCTGCATTTTAGCCATGCCTCATTTCGCTCTATTTGCTCTTTCCAGCCCTGTTTTTGCAGGGGCTGATTCTGTGACGTAGCTTTAATGCAAATGAGCTGCAGCTGACCACGCCCCCCTGCAGGAGAGGGGAGCGTGCTTTGAGATCAGCTGCTGGGCTGTCAGAAGAGGGGGAGAAAAAGAGATCTCCGTCCTCCGTGTTTTATTATATAGAGTCGTTATTCATTTGTTTTAAAGCTCAATAAATAACAAAGAAGACCTTTGACCGCCACTTTTCTAATTTTGTCCGGAAGATTTAAACCTTAACGGACATGTTGACCGGCGGAAAAAAACCTAACTGAAACTCTGCCGCACGGTCCCCTCGTTCCTTGGAAGAGGCGGAGAGGTGGGTGTTTGTCATCTGCTGGTGGACTTTCCGGAGAGAATTACAGTGCTTGCCTCGACGGGGAGGGAATGCATTGAATTAAAGCAGCGGGAGGCACAAACGCTTGCCTCGGGGAGGGAGAAAGAAAGCCACAGCGGAGAATAAACAGAAGGGCAACCATGGCAACCATGCAAGGGAAGTCTTCTTCGCTGCTTTTGTGGCAGACTACAGCGCCACTTACAGGCCTGGCATATGTACTACAGCATCTCCAGCGCTTTCGAGCGGCAATGGCCGGCCGTGGCCCAACCCCACATTCCCCTGATAGGTGGAGAGTTGACCACTAAGCGGAGCACCACTTTTGTGACGTAGAAAATAATTCAAATCTGGATCAGTCTGTATCAGATCCGTTGCAGCGCTGTTTTTAGAGATTTGGGTATGGAGGAAAAGAGAGAGGGTTGTGTTTTGTGACACTTGGTGAGTTCCCTGGAACACCGGGGACACATATTCATGTATAAAAGACGTACAAAAGTGCATTTTGCATGATAGGTCCCCTTTAAGTAACTAAAAAGTTACTGTTCACAGTAACGCATTACTTTTTGGTGTAAGTAATCAGTAAAGTAACTGAGTTACTTTTGAAATGAAGTAATTAGTAATGGTAACTAGTTACTGGTTTTCAGTAACTAGCACAACACTGCGAATGGCGCATCACAGTCCCTGGAATATAGCATAACATGAATACTTTCCATGAGGGGACGAAGGCTGGGAACAATACAAACCTGCCGCTGTGAAAAAGTAGAGACTAAGGTCACACTTTTTACAGCGATAAACAAAAGGGGGGAACAAGGGCAGCTCTCTGCGTGCAGACAGGCAGGAGAGAGGCGCACAGCTGGATCCCTGACATCGCTCACTCTGACAAGACACTCAGTACAAAATGTGTCAGAGGAAAAAAGGAAACATCCCTCTCACAAGAGGGAAAAAGGGCCGCTCTCCGCGTGCTGAGAGGCAGGAGAGAGGCGCACAGCTGGGTCCCTGACGTCACTCAATCTGACAGGACACTCAGCACAGGGTGTGTCAGAGAGGAATGGGAGACATCCCTCAAATAAAATTGAATAAATGAACAGGGGGAAGACCAAGAAGCCGCAGTGCAAATGTCTTCCACCGACATTCCTCCGTGCAAAGCCATGGAGGAGGAAAATTCCTCTGGTGGAGTGCGCACTGATGTTCTCCGGGGGATCCACCCCAGATGAGACATATGCCTGCGACACAGCCTCACACACAGCCAGTGTGACAGCCGTTGTGCAAACAGAGGCTGCCCGAATGAGCGCTCTCTGTAATACACAACCAGGCGCTGGGAAGGGCGCAAAGCAGCCGTGCGCGACACATAGCAGGACAGCGCGCGCACGGGACAGAGGAGATGAGATGTGGCTTCCTCCTCCGACCTGTGAGGGGGAGGAAAGAAGCCATCCAAGGTGATCACTCTTGACCTAAAAGAGCTCATGATGACCTTTGGCATAAAAGCCGGGTTAGGGTGTAAAACAGTTGAACTGCCATCTCCTTGGATCCGGAGACATGACGGAGCCACAGAGAGAGCAGACAAATCACTTACCCTTTTCGCTGTTAGAGCCAAAAGTAATACTACTTTGGCTGATAACAGTTTAAGGGGAACCTGATCTAAAGGTTCAAATGGGGCTTTGCTTAGTGCGCGTAACACAAAAGCCAAATCCCTCTGAGGCGCCAGTGCGCGTGACCCGCCAGTGTGCGTGACACAGGTCTGAGTCTCCGTAGTCCTCGCATAAAACGGCTTGGTGGCTGCTGATCGCTCCCTCCGCCTGGGAGAAAGTGTCCGGCAGTTCCCCTAGGATGCCACCTATCGCCGGTAGCGCTGTGGAGAAGGGGACCGCATGTTCGGCCGCCAAGCTGGCACCTTGCTCCGATTCTGTCTCCCCCGTCCGGGGGAGAGGAGGGAGGAGAGAACCGAAGGAACCGTGGAGGGAGGCGGGGTAGGAGTCGTCCGACTCCCGCCCAGCACTCGGCTCCAGGGACACGAGGCCCCCGTCCGCGGGCTCGTAAGCCTGGATGGGCCAATCGTCCTCCTCGGCCGCAGCAGCGAGAGCGTCCGCTCTTCGCTTCCTGTCGCCCGAGGGGCGAGTCCAGGGGCCGTTTTTCAGTCCCAGTCCCTCCCTGATAGATCATCCCATACTAAAGTGTAGGATCACACTAAGACTTTCTTACCATAATCTCCCAAGCTATGCTAAGGTAAGGCCATGCTCTCTAATACAGTAGGCCTATTTGGGGTTTCATTTTATTGGTAACATAACACTAAATGTTGCCTTTAACCTAATATCAATGTGTATTCTTTTCAGGTTCTTGCATTTACTTTGACTATTTCAATTGTTATGCTACTTTAAACTTCTCGAGAAGATTGACAAATAATCAGTCATTTAAATCATGCATTCAAAACTGCAAATAAGAGCAATAAAATATACATTAAGTACCAAAAGTAAAAAGTAATTATTATGTAGAAATTTGAGTTTATATTTAACAATATAATTATTCTTGTAAAAATAAAAGACATGTTTCTAATGCCTCAGGTAAGAGTGACTCTAATAAAATGACTTTATCTTTTTCTAATTATAATTTATTCTATGATTACATTTTGTATTAACCTGGCATAAATGTTTTATCCTTTAATCCTGTACCAAAGGAAGTGGTCACAGTGTCAGGCTGGAGCTGGACAATATCATGAAGGAATCATCTTTTAAAGGAAGAACATGTTTCACCATCGTTCTCCTTCTGCTCATGGCTTTCTTAATATTCTTCCAGGTGAGAACTGTTATCTGGGATCACTAATAGGGTTGACTTATTGTGACATGTTTAACATTAGTCCGATTGTTTTAGGAGACATGCCCTGCAGGGACACAGACAAACATGAGGGCACACAGTTAGTGTAAAAGAAACAGATTATGTCTAAATGATGCTACACGTATACTTCAACAACAACAACAACAGCGCATAAATATGAGAGGATGCATTTTTCTGAAATATAGGTACGAATTCTTTGCAAAGTACATTCAGGTATTTATTCTTTACATATGCTTTTATTCAATTGGAATAAAAAAGCATATTGTTTAATAAATAGATAATATAAAATCCATCAAATTCCAATTTCTGAACTGCAGGTATGAATTGAATTCCAGAAATGTTTTATATGTGGCTAAAACGAATGTTTCCTTTTTCAGCTTAACATATGGGACACATTGGTGAGTTATTTTTGGATGTGTGTTGTGCATGAGCCATCCACAGTGTATGTTATATGTTTGAGTCAGCCTGTCCTCCTACAAAAAACGACCATATAGGCCGATTGTTCAAGTCATTATTACGACCCAGAGACACGTTTTAAAGTGCATGTTGTTTCTTACACGACCACTAGAGGTGCTCTAGTGGTCGTGTAAGAAACAACATGCTTGATTGCAAACGTTTATTCACAAATAACCCTCTCTGGAAAATCCTAAATTATGGAATAGTTTTGCCATTAAAATGCTTTTTGATTTGATTTCTAGCGAGAAGTGTATATTGTACTCTTAGAAACCACGTCCAGTCGATGTGTCGGATCTATAGTTTGATAGATATTACGAAGATGAGGTCCCCCTCCTGATGTTCATTGATAAGCCTGAAACATGCACTTGTCAAGGTTCAGAGGCACATTTTGCAAATATGGCAGTAGCCATCGATCATCTTAAGATAAGATAAGATAAGATATACTTTATTGATCCCAAGTTGGGAAATGTTTTTGTTACAGCAGCATGTACTACTTAGTTCTACTCCACTACAATTCAGAGGTTAACCTGGTATTTTTACTCCACTACATTTATTTTAGTTACTTTGCAGATTCTGATTAATGATTTGAAATATAAACAACACTTAAATCAGACTTAAGTTACACCTGAGTCAAATTCAGGGAAGGTGATTGTACTTTGTCAGACTTAATATTTATCTGTGGATACCCCCAACGTTTCTTTTCTTATTCAAAAGAAGACCTTAACTTAACCTGTTCCACCCTGAGCCTGTTTTTCAGGTCTCAGGCTCGAAAATGACATTCCCAGAACAAATGACCATATCTTCCCTTCTAAAAGGGTTACATTAATTATCTTTGTTCTCAAAGTAATGATAGACCTGTGAGTTGGATGTAGTAAAAGTCAGAATCAATATAGATGTTTTTTATTTTAAAGAAAATTCAGATTGAACATAGTAAAAAACTGTAAATTATAGTGTCCGTCCAACATCTTTTTTTTACTTATAGTGAAAACTACCCTTGGATGATGGGTTAGTAGACTAAAAGCTTTAGGAATCCAAAGTACAACATATAATAAGTACCATGTATCAAGATTGATGCAAAACAAGTGACATTTGACCTTTTAAGAGAGATTTAGCCAAAGAAACCCCACTTCTGGGGTCATTTGGGTGGATTTGACCTATCTCTAGCCCCCCTTGCTCGATTTTGATGAATGAAAGCTCTTTATAACCGCTAGAGCCAATGGAATCGAGGGAAAGTTCTATACACACCAACACGTTAACAAATGACGAGTGAGAGTGACGCGTGACCAAAACCGGAAGCTGCATACACTCTGGTGACTACCATTAGCAGCTAACTTTTTCTCTCCGATTTTTACATAAAAATTGAATTATGGATTATAAATAATTTCTTCAAAGGCACAGGTACATTATCAACCTATGGATCAACAGTTGTAGCCGCGTCTTTTTCCATTTTAATGCCATTGAACACGTCTTTTGACCTAATTGACAGCTACGGTGAGACGATCTCCCGTAAAAGCTCCGTAAAGGTACGTGTTGTGATGTCTGTGTTTGCTTCCCCTGTCGCAAGTTCCGATCGCTCAGTGATGATACTATACCTAAATAATCTGTGGAGTCTCAGCTTTAATCGGATATATTGTATGTGCAGCTACGATAAGTAATAAGGGTATCTTTATCTTGAGTAGTGTGCTAAAGTGCATTAGCATTTTTTCGCTTAGTGCTAATTCAGAGGCTTGGTATTACCCTTGTGTTTTGTTTTGGTAAAAATGGTTCATATCTTCAGTTGGCTGAGATTCTTCCCGTTAATCTGGTGCTACACATGAATAGTTTCATAAATGTTAAGAAGCCCTGAAACACAGTCTCGAAAAAAGACGGTGGGGGGGGGGTCCACTGGGGGGACCGTCATCCTTAAGAGGTTAAAGTATTCTTTAATGTTTGAATAAAGCCTCATTAGTTTGTCTGTTTTGCACTTCCTCCTATTAATATCTTTGGACGTCCTGCACTAAACTGTATTGTAGAGATCACTACAGTATCTTCTTGATATTATCTATTCTATATTTCTATCATTGACCTTCTACTTTCCCCCTATGAAAGTATGTACTCTTAATATTTTTTTCATCAAATATAACATAATTTCAACCAAATATAACATAATTTCAACAGAAAAACGCAATAACGTTTTTTAACCACTAGCTGTCCCTTTCTATCAGCTGTGCACCGTTATGGTGTAAATATAACCTATCTACCAATTGGATCACATATAAAAGTCAGCCGAATTAATGTTGATACTGCAAGGAGACGTATTTTGTGAAAATAAATGTAAGATGTTGTGTAATTGCTGATATATTTATGATTCACGTCACATATTCAGTTTCGGCTGCACTTCTTCCTGTTTGTCCAGAAGTCTTCTCATCAGGGCTCTATAAATAAAGAACTACGGCAGATGTGTAATATTTAATGCAGCCAAACCGTGTATTACAATGCCGTTATGTGATGACTTCCAAAGAGAAAAGCAAGAACACTCGGAATAAAGTATTATTTTATTTTTCCGATTTCATATCACATAAACACCATATCCCAACGTGCATTGCGTCTAAAACATACAGGATTATGGGTATAATTCGATGTTTTCCAGGTTTTCAAAACCTCTGAAAAAAGAAATGTGTCTCTCAGAATCGAAAGAGAAAAACCTATGGGAAAAACACAGAAGCATTGTACACAATTTAAACCAATTAATGTTGTATAATTAACAAGGATAAACTGATGTTTTTTAGTGGATGAGTACTGCAGATATCACTGTTAAATCATTTGATCATTGGTTTTATTATGAAAACGCAGAGACCGGAAATACTGTTTTCAACCTTTAACTGTACATGGAAGCTACCGCATATACACGTTCTCCTGTCGAAACCTCAAATCATCTTCGTAATATCTATCAAACTATAGATCCTACATATCGACTTGACGTAGATTCTAAAAGTACAATATACACTTCTCGCTAGAAATCTAATCAAAAAGCGTTTTAATGGCCAAACTATCCTACGATTTAGGATTTTACAGAGAGGTTTATTTGTGAATAAACGACCATCTGTAACGTTTGCATTCAACGGGAGCACTAGAGGGTGAAAACTTTAAAACGTAATTATAGGTCGTATTAAGCGCTTGAACAAACGACACATTTGGTCGTAATAAGGGCTTGAACAATCGGCCCATTTGGTCGTATGAGTTGGAGGACTTGTTGGTTTGAGTGTAATGTGTTAGCACAGGTGTTGCTGATTAAATCAGATTTTCTGCTCAAACCAACATTAAAGTGCAGACATACGGAGAACATCAGATCATTTATCTACAATCACAGTTGAGTTGATGGCAATTGCACGAGGCATTACAGGGGTAGAAGAGATGCAAATCCAAAGGATTATTCTTTGTTCAGATTTAAGTTCAGCAATAATGCCACTTCATTACATCTCATCGTAGGCAGGATATTGTGAATGACATTTATGAAACACCATAAAGATGAAGAAATAGAAATATCGAGATAACATTTATGTGGATAACATCATACAGAGGAATGAAGGGAAATGAAAATGTGACACATTAGCAAAGCAGTCTCTTAAACACGAGTAAATAATCAACATTGCACTCAGTAAATCTAAGGCAAATAACATAGTGAAAAATAGAACATCATTAAGGAGTGGCAACACAATTGGGACAAAAGAAACACAAGAAGACACCTATATGCACTGCAGCCAAAAATCAGTCAGGACACTTAAAAGAACCATCAATTTGGAAAATGTGTTATCAAGGCTTAGATTAGGACATACTAGACTGAACAAAACATGACATTATTCATAAGGAAAACATCTTTCTGGATGATATGAACACTGCCAGGTTGAGGAATCCGTAGAACATGTAATTCTGCAGTTTGCCAAACACAAATCAAGAAAGAGAAACTTTGAAGACAGAAATCAGGAAGCCTGGAATGGAGCAAACATTACACAACAACATCTCTTATCAACCGCCTTAACAAATATTCATAGATTTGTTGCATTTGTTTGACGTATCTACGTAAACTTCTCTCTGTCTCTCAACCCCTTCAAGTTTCAGCCTAAAATGAGCTCCACCATCTTCTACTCGAAAGCTACTACTGAAGTCCGCAGCATCTGCAACTTCCCACCATTGTCCCCTAAGGATGCTCTGGAGGAACGCCTGCTACTAGAATCTGTTGCTTGGCCTGAAACTCCTGCATTGCAATCTCCTCTTTCCCTGGAGCTGACCAGTGATCCAGCTCACAGCTCTTTCACCATTCTCCCAGCGAGAGGAGGAGGACAGTGGCACGTAGGGGATCAGCTGGAAGTTAGCATCAGCATCTCTGACTTCAAGGGACAACCCAAGAAGTCTGGGGGGGACTTTTTATTTGCCCGGCTGCACACCCTAAGGCTTGGTGCAGGTGTAGCTGGGAAAGTGGTGGACCATCTCAATGGGAGCTACTCTGCTGTCTTTCCTTTACTCTGGGAAGGAGCAGCTCAGGTTGAGGTGATGCTTAAAACTATATTTGTCTATGTGATTTTGCTGTAGGCGTGTCATTTGTCTTCCAACTGATTACTCACAAAGCCCCACCCCCTTTTAACTAATGTTGATACGACTTTTTATTTCAGACAAAAGCAGAGTCTAGCCACCAATTGTACATTTTCAACAAAAACTCTTGTTTTCTATCCCAATCAGGTGACGCTAGTTCATCCCAGTGAAGCTATCACAGTGCTGAACAGGTTGACGAGTGAACAACCTGACAGGGTATTTTTCATAAGCCTCTTTCTCTCAGGCTCAAGCTCTGAAACCACCATCTGTAACATCTGCCTGCGTCAAACCAAGCAGCCAATCTGCGACTTCACCGACCCTCGAACCGGCGACCCTTGGTTCTGCTACAAGCCAAAGAACATGAGCTGTGATGCAAGGATCGCCCACAGCAGTGTAGGATACAAACAAACGCTCAAGGCCAAGGAGGATGAGCTCTTTCAAGGGTAAGGAAGCAAAGAGACTGGTCATTTGTGTGACTTCTTATAAATACATACATCATGTGTTACCTATTTATCTCCTTGGCTTGAAGTTTCAGAAGTTTGTCAGTACAGGCAGTTTAGATTCAAAGATAATATAAATGTAACCACTCAGTCTGAATCATAGTTGACCTTCATGTTTGATAGGATATAAATCTGGATTTTCAATTTGATAATGTTGTTTATCTGTACACATAACATCTACACATGTCTGTACCTCCTCGGAGAAGTAACTCGTAAGTCTTAGCTCTGATTATTTTATCAATTCATAGTATTTATAGACAGCTTTGGTCAAATACAAATTATGCCGTAAGGCTTAGTTCTAAGGTGTGAACCTTCCAAGTTCACACAAGGAAAATGTAGGGTGGCAAAAGCTGCAGCAAAAGACCCCTTATATCAATATAATGAAGATAAGATACAGCATGAAAAGTAGACCTTCTAAACTGTTTACCCCAGGTAAACCTCCATGCCATTCCACAACCATGTAGAAAAGCTGCATTTGGGATATTAATGTTTATTGTAGTATTGTGTGTGTGCTTTTCTTCAGTCGTGTCAACTTGAAAGTCAGCATTCCGGCTTCAGGACCTGCCGGTGTCACTGTTTTACCAAAAAAGGAAGGTAAGGAATGCATTTATTACTGAATTCACGATCTAATGTGCTCCATGTACAGATGATGAAAGTGTAGGGGCAGAACAAAACAACAACTCTTTCTTTGGGTATCATTCTTCTGTTGAGAGATGTATTTAGCAGGCCAATTTGACAGGAGCAAAGGGAGCATGGAGCTCTCAGCTCAAACTTTGTCAACACGGCACAGCTGTTGCAGTGTCTCTCAGGAGTAAGGCCATAAAATGTTCATACATTCAGTCTATACCTTGATTTGGTTAAGGTCAGTAACAAACGTAAAACAACCCCCCTATTATCCTTCAACTTTCTCTCAGGTCAACCAGAGGTGGAGAGCAGCATTGTGAACTTTCAAGCCTCTGGCTATTACTACCAGGGTTTATGGCGAGCACTAGATGGCACCAAAGTTCGCCAATTCACCGGCGCATCTGCCATCACTCAGTGTCTAAAAGACAAAGTGGTCCACCTGTATGGAGACTCTACCATCAGGCAGTGGTTTGAGTTCCTCAACGCAGCACTACCAGGTAACTAATCCACAGGGATTTCCGGCAACAGTTTCATTATGTTCACACTGCATCTTAATCTGTTTCCTCTGTAATACCTTTAGATCTTAAGGAGTCTAACCTGGGCAGCTCGAGGCAAAATGGACCTTTCCTGGCCTTAGACTATGAAAACAAAATCATGGTGACTTTCCGCCTCCATGGTCCTCCTCTCCGTTTTATTGGCTCAAATGAAGAAATTCGTTACATAGCCAATGAACTAGATGACTTAATCGGGGCTCCCAACACTGTTGTCGTTTTTGGCATCTGGGCTCACTTTGGTTCTTTCCCCATCGAGGTGTACATCCGGCGGCTACAAAGGATCCGCAGTGCGGTGGTACGGCTGTTGGACAGGGCTCCAAAAACGGTGATCATCATCAGGACTGCAAACCCCAAAGCTTTGTGGCTTGATGTGGTGATAAACAACAGTGACTGGTTCTCGGTGCAGTGTGATAAGGTGCTAAGAGCCATATTTAAAGGACTGAATGTTCATCTGATTGATGCCTGGGAGATGGTCCTTGCTCACCACCTGCCAAACAGCCTCCACCCACAACCTCCTATTATTAAGAATATGATGGATGTTCTCTTCTCCTACACATGTCCTCTAAAGGGCGGCTAGATAATAATAATAAAACATTTTATTTATCAAGCACTTATTCAACAATTACGCCAATTGTAGTGTATATCATATTCTTTGCAAGCTTTTGCGGGCCACATAAAATGAGGTCGTGGACCAATTTTGGCCTGCGGGCCTTGATTTTGACACCCCTGGTCTAAACAATACATTGATGTTTTCAAATGTTTTTTTTTAAATGAAACTCAGCGCAAGTTCTTTCAGGAAGACCGGGTATATCAGAGGTCGCGTTAACCGAATATTTTCCGTCTATGACGGAATTTTTCCAAGAATGACGGAAAAATCTGAAAGCAGTCCGTCATTTTGACAGATTAGAACACAACTCGGAACAGCGCCAAAATGTCCACCAGCGGCCCACATTATATTACATCCTTAGTGGCCAGGTCGACTGAGGGAGAATGTCTATAAATATATATAGATACATTTTCATAACAAAACAATGGGGTTGCTAAGCCGTTGCTAGGCCAATTGTTGGAGTTGCTATAGCAACTCCAAGCTACCCCCTGGCGCCGCCCCTGCCTCGTTGTTTAACCGGCTTTAGCAATCGCAAAATGTCACTGAGTGTCCGAAGCTTTTTTAATAAGCCCAGTAATTGTGATGGTGTGAATAAACGAGGTGAAAAAAGAGGGATTGATGCAGTGGAGGACGAAGGACAAGCCAGTAAGACTAAAACTGACAACGTTCAGCTAGCCAAAAAGTTTGCCCTTCCCCTGCCCTATATGCTCACGGCTGCATTTCCCCCTTTAGATATACGATTTCAGGATCGGGGTCTAATCACCAAAGACTTAACACTTATCATATGGCATGTGTCAAGTTGAGAGATATAACAAATTATAATACCAGCCTTAATATTAAATTATATCCAACTCAACTTCAAAAGTCATACTGTATATTCATAAAAATATACCTCAGAAGATTTGAATGTGTTTTTTAAGGAACAGAAACCGGTTATTTTGATGATGGTAGGATGTTTATCAAAGTATTGCTGTAACACTGTTAATGTATTACACATAAACAAGATGCTGTTTTGTCATCAGAATTGGGTTCTGGTCTGGTTCAGTGTCTCTGGTTCCTCTGTAGGTCTGAGAGTCTCTCCTGACGACAGAAACTGAATGCAGAACAGCTGCTGAAATCAGTTCAGTGTGTTCACCATCACACACACATCTGTCTCAAACTCAGACACAATACATTTTTCTGATTCCATCCATATGGCTAACATCATACTTACAAATAAATAACATTTCTCCATTTACATTTGCTTGTTCTATATTTAGCTGTCTTGTGTAGGTTCAGAGAAACGTGTGATGTTCTTCGGGGTAACGGTGTGTTTCCTCTGGTCTCCTGTGGTGCCTTGTATCCTCTTTGAGCAGCGTCAGTGTTTGCTGCCATAAACTGATTCTGAATCCAGTTTGAAGCCACATGTTTACCATATGCAGTGTGGTATAAAATAATCAGAAATACTTTCTTTGTTTTGATTCAAAAGATGACGTATTGTTTTTATAATGGTACGAGACATCTGAAAACCAATTGCCTTCTTTAGCTTCCTCTTGAATAATACTGTAATGTTATAAATATAAAACTGATCTTTTTCTTCTAATGTTTCAAATTATTTTGAATAAAATATTTTCTTTTTATTCTGAGGCTAAGCTTTTGTTTTGTCATAAAGTAAAACTAGCACCAGAATCACTTCACACATCTTCTAACACCCCCCCTACTGGTTATACTACTACATATATTTTGAAGGATTAAATGCTAAAACATATTTGTGGAGAATATTCAATAACTCTACAGTGAAGTGCTAACGACAACACTTGGAGGCTCTCCTTTTGGTTATAGTTCAACACTTATTTTGAACATTTAGCATTATTATGGTGGTTTTAAATAATAAATGAGTCCCCTGTTGGACAGTTGTGTGTCACTTTAAATGTGTTAAGTGTGTGTGTGTGTGGTGGGCTCAGCATAATGTGTGTGTGTGGTGTGTGTGTGTGTGTGTGTGTGTGTGTGTGTGTGGTGTGTGTGTGTGTGTGTGTGTGTGTGTGTGTGTGTGTGTGTGTGTGTGTGTTGGAGCTATGTGCAGCTCAAGGCATATATGCCTGTGTGTATGAGCTGTGTTGCGGCACTATCCGTGCTGAGTGTGCTGTCTGGCTACCTGCATAAAGTCAAGTGCTCGGCGCAGTTGTCGGCGAAATGTCGCTCCTCTGTTTTCATTGAAACAGCTCCTTATATCCGTTAGCTCAGCTAGCTAGCACCAGATGCTAACAACAACACGTAAGGTGTGCTTCGCTCGCGCCACACATACACACACCCTCCCGGTCCTCCCGATGGCCAGTCCGGGCCTGCCGGTGAGCGTGGAAGTGTGGTCTGCCACAAGCGGGCAACAGGAGCGGGACTGTCAGCATCAGCTTGTAGATGGTATTTTAAACTTGATGCGCTCTGAAACTACGGCGGCCGAGGACAAAAAATACACATGCGTTAATCGCGTTAAAATAATTAGTGGCGTTAATTTTTTTTTGCGTTAACGCGTTATTAACGCGTTAACTTGACAGCCCTAGTTAAAATACACATTTCTTTGTATTTTATTTCCACATTTATTTATTATTTGAATGTATTTATTCATACATTTATTTATACATTTATGTTTCTATCAGTTTATACTTATGCCATGTTCTGTCCTCCATACTAACCCCTTCACTGCTGTTCAATCCACCTTTAGTTCCACATCAGTTATTAGATTGGGTTTCACATGACAGATTATTAACCCTTAAATGCAGTGGCGGCTGGTGGAAAATATTTTAGGTGGGGCTGTGGAAATGGTGATCAAACAATACTAGGGGGCCTTTTTTTGAGAAAAGACCCCCTAAATTATGACTTCTGGTGATGTTAGAGGGGGGGGGGAGGACAATTTGAGGCTTAAAAATATGAGAAGACTGATCAATACCTCCATAACTTCAGTGTGGTTAGCTATGAATCTTCCAAAACTTCCAAACACCTTGTCCTGGACATAGTTTCTACAGTATAAACTGTGCTAACAAGCTGAGATTCCAGATTCTATAAATATAAGTATCATCACTGAGCGATCAGAACTCGCGACAGGGGAAGCAAATACAGACATCACACGACGTAGCTTTAGGTAGCAAAACACGGAGATATGCTCACCTTTTGCAGAATAACAATTCTGATCAAAAACGAGAAAAAAGCAGCTGAAGGTTAATCCAATGTGTCTGTCACAAATGATTGATGATCCATAATTCCATTTTTATGTCAAAAACGGAGTTTTCATTAGCTGCTAATGGTAGCTTCCAGAGTGTATGACAGCTTCCTGTTTTGTCTCCTTGGATACGAGTCCAAACAACTCACAGACTGCACCGGGCGCTCATGTAGGAGCCCTGTGACCATCAGATTTGACGACGCTGATTGGCTGAAATTATGTTTAAAGATAGCAACAGTTGGCTTCTGCTGCACTTGCTGCACTCTCGTCTGGGCGCTGTGCATAGCGCCCAGACGAGAGGGAGTAATGATACACGGGCAAGGCCAGGCAGGAAACATGTGACTTATCAGTAACTTTAGACATCGTAACACAATTTTAAACGAGATTTTATTGTAGATTATACATTTTACTGATACCAATTATATAATATTTACCTTGTTTATTAAAAATAAAAATACAAATGAAAAATATATTTTTTAAATATATATTTTTTTTATTATTTTTATTTTTAATGTGGGAAGAGGGGGGGCGGCGCCCCTAGCGCCCCTATGGGCCGGCCGCCACTGCTTAAATGTATAAGCTCACCCTTTGAATCAGTGATGAAGTAAATGGAGGCCCAATTCCAAACCACACCCACTCCCCCTCCGTCTGAAGTCACACTCACAGCTGAACGAGGCCCCCTCCTTTCAGACGGAGGGTGTAAATACAGCAGCAGCTTTGGAGCAAACTCCCCTCTCTCTGGCAGCAACAGGAAATGCCGTAACCCTTCGTAACAACGGTTTCAAATCAGCATCTCTTGGATAAAACATTTGGATAAAAAAAAAAAAAGAAAAAACTCCAAAAATCTTAAATTGTGTTTATTTTTTTTGTAAACCTCTTTTAGTTTTAAAACCTTTTAAGCTTCTTATTTTTTTTCAACAGTCTGTAAATATACACAACTTTATAATATAATGCACACATTTACCATTTTCTAGACTACACATGGGTATGATCCTGAGTTAAAAACAATACGAGGGAACAGGAAGTTGTTAACATCTGTATGAAGATATTAAACATCTATCTTGTTGTTCAGTTATCAGTAAATGTTGGAACTGTTTGTAAGCAGCGTGTTTCCTGACGGACACACACACGTTGGTCGGTCAGGTGGAGCAGCAGGTGAAGTCAGGTGATGCAGACTCTCTTGATAAAACACTCCCCCTCCACACTCGTTGGTTTGGAACTGCACTTAAAGGTCTCCTATTGTACTATTTGTAAGCATATATTATAGGTCTCAGATATAAAAAACATGTCTCTGAAGGGTTTTGCTATCCGTTTAGTAGAGTAGCAGTGTATCTGGATCTTCCTGCTGGCTCTCTCTCCTTCTACAGAGTCTCCTCTGACACACTGGTCCACCTCCACACCTTCAGAACCACATTCACTGAACCTCTCTATGCTGGGTTTGGGTCAGGGTTCTCGTTTTGTGTTGATTCCTCTTCGGTGTCTCTGTGTCCTCTGCAGGTCTGAGAGTCAACATGTTCACACTTATATATACATATAATGGTATACTATGTAACATTTCTACATGGAATTGTGTGAAACGAGATGCTGACTGCAATGATCCACAGAATATTTTTTTGTTCTTGTTTTGATTGAGAAAATCACATTCTGTTCGTCAAATGATGAGCAACATTTGAAAACAATTAGTTTGGTCATTTCTATGACATTTGAATTATTCTGTAATGTAATGAGAGTTGTACTGTCCTATATTTGTTATGTTTCTAAAGACTTCTAATCAAATATTTTATTTTTTCTTTATTGCAATCTTTTGTTTATTTGTTTACTTTTGTCTTTCCTACGTTACGTATACGTTTATGTATGTAGCACATTCAAAGACAGCAAATTTAGAATAAAGTGATTCACAAAGAGATCAAATAAAAACACAGTCATCGAAAAGAAGACCTTATATTATTCCAAAGAGTTTGATGCAGGCTAAATGCTGACCTCTGCTGGTCTACTTCTGGTACTGCAGCTACTGTTTGTGGAGGAATTCAAGTGAAGACAGGAAACACCTTTCTATCAGTCTTTGAAAGTCAGTGTATTGTTTTTTTTAAATTAAAATTAATGCCTGTATCTGCAGTAAATTAACAGAAGTACTCATTTCAAGCTGAAGATTGGTTGTTGTTGTGGTTTAAACATAACCAAGTGGTTAAGAGGGGTTGATGAAATTGCCTCTAACTGTATTTATAGTCAAATCTATAGCAGATTTGACTATAAATAAAGTCATTGGAATCATAGAGAAATACATTCTTTAACACAGATCAGAGGAAGAGTCTTTTAAAGGCTCTTTATTTGGCTACAGCTGTTTTCATTGGAGTAGACAGGTGTTGCTCTTCCTCCTCTGACGGCTCGTCCCTGATACACCGGTTTCCCCGTGACTCTGAGGTGTTTTTATGAGGGTGTGACGGCGTCCTCAGATCAGACGCATGCAGACACAGGACAGACGAGGACGAGCTGAGTTTCCTCCACACATGAAGAGAGTCTGTGAGTGGACCTGGAGAGAGTCTGTGAGTGGACCTGGAGAGAGTCTGTGAGTGGACCTGAAGAGAGTCTGTGAGTGGACCTGGAGAGAGTCTGTGAGTGGACCTGGAGAGAGTCTGTGAGTGGACCTGGAGAGAGTCTGTGAGTGGACCTGAAGAGAGTCTGTGAGTGGACCTGAAGAGAGTCTGTGAGTGGACCTGGAGAGAGTCTGTGAGTGGACCTGAAGAGAGTCTGTGAGTGGACCTGGAGAGAGTCTGTGAGTGGACCTGGAGAGAGTCTGTGAGTGGACCTGAAGAGAGTCTGTGAGTGGACCTGAAGAGAGTCTGTGAGTGGACCTGGAGAGAGTCTGTGAGTGGAACCTGGAGAGAGTCTGTGAGTGGACCTGGAGAGAGTCTGTGAGTGGAACCTGAAGAGAGTCTGTGAGTGGACCTGAAGAGAGTCTGTGAGTGGACCTGGAGAGGAGTCTGTGAGTGGACCTGGAGAGAGTCTGTGAGTGGACCTGAAGAGAGTTGTGAGTGGGGACTGGAGAGAGTCTGTGAGTGGGACCTGGAGAGAGTCTGTGAGTGGACCTGGAAGAGAGTCTGTGAGTGGACCTGGAGAGAGTCTGTGAGTGGACCTGAAGGGGGACGGACCTGGAGAGAGTCTGTGAGTGGACCTGGAGAGAGTCTGTGAGTGGACCTGGAGAGAGTCTGTGAGTGGACCTGGAGAGAGTCTGTGAGTGGACCTGGAGAGAGTCTGTGAGTGGACCTGGAGAGAGTCTGTGAGTGGACCTGGAGAGAGTCTGTGAGTGGACCTGGAGAGAGTCTGTGAGTGGACCTGGAGAGAGTTCAGCAGGTGAGAATGCTCCCAGAGGAATCTGTCTCATCATCAGGATCACTCTGATCACATTGTGCTGTGTCACCGTTTACCTGGACA